CCCTTGTCTGTCTTATTCCAAAACCTGTGTTTTAAAATTTATTTATTTATTATTATTATTTTTTTTTGGTACCAGGGATTGAACTTGGGCACTCAGCTACTGAGCCACATCCCATCCTCAGCCCTATTTTTTTTTTTTTTTTTGTGGTGCTGGGGATTGAACCCTGGGCCTTCTTCAAGGCAAGCATTCTACCCACTGAGCTATATCCCCAGCCCTACTAGCCCTATTTTGTATTTTATTTAGAGACACGGACTCACAGAGTTGCTTAGTGCCTCGCTGTTGCTGAAGCTGGCTTTGAACTCACAATCCTCCTGTCTCAGCTTCCTGAGCTGCTTGGGGTTACAGGCATGCACTGGCTATCTATTTTATTTTTGAGACAGGGTCTTGCTTTATTGCCCAGACTGACCTCAGACTCGAGATTCCCTGCCTCAGCTTTCTAAGTAGCTGGGATTATAGGCGTGTGCCATTGCACTTGGCTCCTTTCTTTTTAAAAAAGGAAATAAATGACTTTCTTGTTTTTTTTTTTTTTGTGTGTGTTTGTTTGCTTGGGATAATTAAAAGTAATACATGAGCCTTGGGTGTAGCATGGTGGCATACACCTTTAATTCCAGTTACTTAGGACACTGAGGCAGGAGGGCTGCAAATTCAAGGCCAGCCTGGGCAACTTAACAAGACCCTGCCTGAAAAGGGGTAGAGCACTCCTGGTTCAATCCCTAGCACTCCCCACCCCCCAAAAAAGTAATACATTATACTCATCATATTGCTGAAAGTAAAATACCTGACATACCCTTACTTGGTTAGAATATAGAGTAATGGAAAGTTTTATAGGCATAACAACTTGAAAAGCAATTTGGCAATATCTAGTAAAATTGAAAATGCACATATTCTACAATGCAACAACTCCATTCCTGGGTATATGTCCCAGGGAAGATGTTGACTGTGTACATGGAGCACAGTGTTTAAGCCATATTTAATAGCTGAAAAAAAATCAACCTCAGTGCCCATCAACAAGAGTTGGTGCACACACACATATGTGCCCACACAAGATGCTATACTGAAACTTTAATGCACAATATAGCATTGTGGTTAAAGTGATAATCTAGAGCTGCACACTGAGAACAAATGAGGTGCAGTTCATACACCAGACAGCTCAAGATTTAGAAATAGGCATACAAGTAACACATTGTGTATGAATACTTACATATAAAAATAAGTGTAAAACCATGCATGACCATGATAAGCACCCAGCTCAAGAGAGTGATAACTCTGGGGAAGGCGGGGAAATGGGAAGCTTAAAAACTGTATTTTAAGCTGGGTGCAGTTGCTCATATCTGTGATTTCAGTAGCTAGGGAGGATTCTGAATTTAAATCCAGCCTCACCAATTTAGTGAGGCCCCAAGCAACTCAGTGAGACCCTGTCTCTAAATATATTTTAAAAAGGGGGGGGGGGGCTGGGGATGTGGCTCAGTGGTTAAGTACCCTGGGTTCAATCCTTAGTACCAAAATAAATAAATAGCTGTATTTTATTTCTCTAAAAGAGATTTGATATAATGAATGTTAAGATTGGACAAAGCTGGATAGTAGGCATACAGATATCTACTATTTCCTATATTTTTCTAAATGTTTGAAATAATTTATTTGATATAAAGTTATACATATTCATTGCAAAGTTTTTCAAGTATGCCAAAGGGCATAACGAAGGTGTTAGCAGTATAGCTCACTAGTAGCTCTGAGTTTGATTCCCCAGAACAGCAAAGGAAAAAAGCCATGAAGAAAATAAAAATCACCCATAACAACACAATCCAAAGATAATGTACGTTAACATTCTATTAAATATTCCCTAAGCATAAAACAAAAACTTAATCTTTTTTACTTAACATATTGTAGAAATTTTTTTTTTTTGTGTGTGTGTGTGTGTAGTATTGGGGTTTGAACTCAGGGCCTTGCACATGTTAGGTAAATTGAGCTATTTTTTTTTCCTGCTTTGCAATAGGTCTCAATAAATTGTCCAGGCTGGCCTTTGACTCGCCATCCTCAGCCACCTGACGCATGACATTACAGGCATATACCACCACACCAGGCTACACACAAAAAATTTAAAGACTATATAATATTCCTTCATATAGCTGAATAATAAACCCTACATACAAATTTTTGCCCCTATTCCTGATTATTTCCTTAGGGAAATTCCTAGGAGTGGGAATTTGGGTAGAAGAAAGTATACTTTTTAAAAGTATAAAAGCTTAAAAACTGTAAGTCTGTTTTGTTTTGCTTTTAAACAAATGCTTTGTATAGTTCATGCATCATAAAAATAACCATTTTAAAGTATATAGTTAGGTCAGGAATGTAGCTTAGTTGGTAGAGTGCTTGTCTCTCATGCACAAGGCCCTGGGTTCAGTCCCCAGCATCACAAAATAATAATAATAAGTAAAGTATACATTTGATCCCAGTGTAGTGGCACATGCCTATAATCCTGGAAATTCAGAAGACTAAAGTAGGAGGTTCAAGGCCAGCCTGAGCAACTTAGGAAGACCCTGTCTCAAAATTAAAAACAAAATTTTTTAAAGGGCTGGGGATTTAACTCAGTGTTAGAGCACCCCTGGGTTCAATTACCAATATCAAATAAATAAATAAAAATGCAATTGAGTGGATTTTTGTATATTCAGAATTGTACAATTCTCACCACTATCTAATTATAGAACATTTTCATCACTCCAAAAAGAAACCCCAGACCCATTAGCAGTCACTCATTCTATGTAGCCTTCCCAGTCCTAGTAAACTACTAATCCACCTTCTGTCTCTATGGATATGCCTATTCCAGATGTGGAACTGTATGATATGTGGTCTTTGACTGGTGTCTTTCACTTGGCAAAGTGTTTTCTTCAAGTTTTGTCCATGTCCTACCATGTATCGGTACTTTGTTCCTTTTTTACCAATGAGTAATATAGCATTCTATGGGCATGCCATATTTTGTTTGTCCATTCATTAGTTGATGTGTATTTGGGTTATTTCTGCTTTGCGTATTTATTTTTGTTGTCCTGGGGACTGAATGCAGGCACGCTCTATCACTGAACGACATTCCCGACCCTATTTATTTACTTAAGACATGGTCTCACTAAGTTGCCCAGGCTGGCCTCAAACTTGCTAGGTCTCCTGCATCAGCCTCCCAAGTCACTGGGATTACAGGTATGCACCACTGTGCCAAACTTACTTTTGGACTATTAGAAATAATGCTGCTATGATCATTTGTGTACATGTTTTTTGGGGGAGGGGGAGGGCTAGGGATTGAACTCTCAGGAGCACTCAACCACTAAGCCCTATTTTGTATTTTGTTTGGAGACAGGGTCTCACTGAGTTGCTTAGTATCTCACCATTGCTGAGGCTGGCTTTGAACCCACCATCCTCCTGTCTCAGCTTCCTGAGCTGCTGGGATCATAGGCGTGTGGCACGGCGCCCAACTACATGTTTTCAGTTCTTTGGAGTATATGCTTAGTAGTGGAAGTTCTAGATTATGTGTTTAACTTTTTTTTTTTTTTTTTTTGGTATTGGGATTGAACCCAAGAGTGCTAAACCACTGAGCTACCTCCCCAGCCCTTTTTAAATTTGAGACACATCCTCACTAAGTTGCTTAGGGCCTTGCTAAATTGCTGAGGCTGGCCTCAAATTTTTGCTCCTCCCACATCACTGGGATTATTTGTGCTACTGCACCCAGCACATGTTTTAACTTTTTGAGGAACTACCAAACTGTTAAATTTCCACCAACACATGTTATTGTCTCTTTTTAAATTATAGTCATCCTCATAGCATCTCATGTGGTTTTGATTTATATTTTGCTAGTGACTAATGATGTTGAACTTCTTTTCATGTGCTCATCATATATTTGTGTGTGTGTGTGTGTGTGTGTGTTTTGGTGGTGGTACTAGGACTTGAACCCAGGGCCTCCAACATGCTAGGCAAGTGTTCTACCCACAAAGCCACACCCCAGCCCTTTTTTATTTTATTTTGAGGCAGAGTTTCACTAAATTGCCCAGTCTGGCCTTGAGTGTGCATTCTCCTGCCTCAGCCTCACAAGTAGCTGGGATTATAGGTGTGTACTACCCAGCTGGCTAGTTTTTAACCATTTTATTATATATATCCTGTGAAGGAAAATGAAAGCAGAGCTATCAGTCATCAACAATTTTGTGTAGTGTATGAAATTAGTGTATAAATCTGAAAACTAAAATGAGACTGGATTTTCCTCTTCATTCCAGCCCTCAACCTTTTTTTTTTTTTTTTTGCTGCAGTACTGGGGATTGAACTCAGGGTTGCTCTACCACTGAGCTACATCCCCAGTTCCTTCTTTTTTTACAGAATATTTTTAGTTGTAGATGGACAGAATACTTTATTTTATTTATTTAGTTTTATGTGGTGCTGAGGATCGAACCCAGTGCCTCACATGTACAAGGCAAGCTCTCTACCACTGAGCTACAACCCAGCTCCTCAGTCCCTTCTTATTTTTTATTTTGAGACAGGGTCTTGCGAAGTTGCCAAGGCTTGTACCACTGCACCTGGATAGCCCTTTTTACTGTGGAAAAAAAATTAGAGCAACAATATTGAAGAAATATGTGCTTGTGTATACCAGGTATGGTGGCACACTCCTGTATTTCCACTTACTCAGGAGGCTGAAGCAGGAGGATCCCAGTGCGTAGCTAGCCTCAGCAACTTAGTGAGAACCTGTCTCAAAATAAAAAATAAAATGGCCTGAGGATGTGGTTCAGTGGTAAATGCCTCTGGGTTCTAACCACAGTAACAGTAACCACAGTAACCACTCACTCACCCACCCCACCAAAAAAAAATTATAATAATTGTAAGTTATCAGGTTGTATTAAAAGTAGGAGCAGAATATTCCAAAACCTGCAACTGCAGGGTCTCTTGGCTACCAAGAATGATAATTAGTTCCTCATGATATTTGCCCTTTGTGTTAAAAGGAAATTCATTCTGATATCGCCTCTTCCCTACAGGAATAACAGCCAAATGAAGAAGCGGCCAACATCTGCAGTGGGCTACAAGAGGCCTATCAGCCAGTATGCTCGGGTTGCCATGGCAATGGGGTCCCACCCCAGGTATAGGGTAAGAAGCTGGGAAACAGAAATGGGGGGTGTGGGGGAGAACCCAAGGAGAGGGGATGCTGACCACCTCTACTCCCTTAAAGTACCCATCACTCTTGCAATACTCAAGATTGACTAAGTGCTGGTCACTGAGGCTGTTGTTCTCATCTGACATGATTCACCACAGGCTGAAAACATCATGTTTTTGGAGTTGGACGTGTCCCCTCCAGCCGTCTTTGAGATGGAATTCTCTAATGACCAAGAACAAGACCCTCGTGCACTACACATGGAGAGGCTCATGAGGCTGGACAGCTTTCTAGAAAGACCTTCCACATCTAAAGTCCGAAAGTCCCGATCCTGGTCAGTACCACCATGGTCAGACTGAGCACTGGACTTGGGAGGCAGGGGAACTGCATGGGCTGGTTGAGGCTGAAGAGGGTTTTGTTTGCACTCTAATGGGTTGAGGGAAGGAAAGGAAAGGCCTCGCTGTTCCATCTCCTGTGTCCCTAACCTCCCACTCTGCCTGTCTCATTCCCACCCCTGCAGGTGCCAGAGTCCTCAGCGGCCTCCACCTTCCACCGCACATGCCTCCCTGGCCTCTGCTTCTCTGCACCCTGCGACAGTGGTTGACCATGAGTGACAGCCTTCACAGTCAGACTGCCCATCCAACAGACTTTTAGGATGGGGCAGCCAACCTGGGCTCATCTCATCTGCCGCTTGGTGTGTGTGTGTGTAAGTGTGCGTGCATGTGCGTGTGTGTATGTGTGAAGGGGTGAGGATCTGGCAGATGCTGCCTCTGCCTGCTATTCTGCGCCTCCTTTATTTAATTCATGTTATTTATTCGTGGAGCTCAGTTATGTGGGGGAGGTGCCCTCGCCTGAGCAGCTTGGGCCTGTGGCCATCACTGCATAGTCTCCTTTTCTTCTGCCTGGAGACCCCTGGTCAGACCTCAAGCTCCTCCCTGTGTCTCCCACCCTCAGAGAGGAAGATGGCTAGTGCCTGAGAAGACAGTACTTTTTCTACCCACCTCATTCCATAATCTCCATCTCCTCCTACCCTGATGGTGAGCAGTCCCTAAGCACTTTCTGGGACTAGAAAACTACAGGGTGTCCACTGAGGACAAGAGACATCCTAACAGTGTTGGGCCTGTGTTCCTGGTGGACAGAGCCTGCTCTCCACTTTCTGGGCCTCTGACAACCTCTTCTGGCCTCTTGGGCTCTTTTTCAAAGACTTAAACGACTTCACCAAAACTCAGCCTGTGCTCTTCGGCTTTGTCAAGAACTCACAGCTTCCCAAACTCTGCTTCCTGACCACCTTCCCAGCCCTTGGATGGGAATTATGAACCAACCAGTTGTAGCCAACTCAGGACCTGCTGGAAATGGAACAGTATTGAGACATCGTGGACTGTCATCAAGGGAAGTTCCTCCTCTGAGTCCCTTTGTTTCTCTCCCTCTAGAAGTTCCTATGATTGAGGAACTCTCCAACCAACTCCCCGCCTTTTTCTTGTTTGTAGTCAGTACTGGGGATTGAGCCCAGGGACACTCCACCAGTGTGCCACACACCCAGTCCGTTTATTTATTTATTTATTTTAATTTTAAGACAGGGTCTAATTTGCCTGGGCTGACCTCGATCTTGCAATCCTGCCTCACCCTCTGGAATCACTGGATTATAGGTGTGCACCATTGTGCCTGGTGCAACTACCATGGCTTCTTCCTGCTTCCATCATTTTTCCCTGCCCCATCTCAGTTCATAGTGGGAGGGATCTGCTCCTGGCTAAATGAAGGTATCCAAATCTGTGGTTTTCCTCCTGTATTTGGCCCAGGAGATGGAGACCCAGGCGCAATCATTGCTAGCTTTGCCTAATACTTCTGTTTCTCAGTCATATTTTGATGGCACGATTTTGTTGAAAACTGATCTGTCCATTACCGTGTGTGCAAGTTGGTCCCTCCTCAGGAATCTTCCATTGTGACAGCCCAAAATGACCCCAGGTATCACAAGTGATAACTAAATTTCTACACCTACCCCCCCCAAAAGTGAGTTAATTTTTATTGACTTTTTTAAATCATATAAAACTTTCATTATTTTTTAAAAAGTCCTTGCACATACTCAATATCACAAAATTGTATAGAGTTACTTTTTTTTTTTTCTTTTCTTTTCTTTTTGTTTTTGGTACTGGGGTTTGAACTCAGGGGCACTCGACCACTGAGCCACATACCCAGCCCTATTTTGTATTTTACTTAAAGACAGGGTCTCACTGAGTTGCTTAGACCTCGCTTTTGCTGAGGCTGGCTTTGAATTCCTCCTGTCTCAGCCTCCCCAGCTGCTGGGATTAAAGGCGTTTGCCACCATGCCCTGCTTGCATAAAGTTATTTTACATGAGAAATTACATTTGAGTTAAAATTGCAAAGTTCTACTCCATAACGGTCACTGGATTCCCTATGCTTCCCTAATATGCCTCTAGGAATATGTCCATGATCCTATGTCTATCTTTTTCCAAGCCTTGGATCTACTCAAAAGATGCTGATAAATGCAAAGATTTCTTAGAGAAGAAATTGTAATTTTTCTGTAAACATTTAATAGTTTATTATTTAATTATATGTTGGTTTAAAATAGAAAATTCTCTAATACTAAGGATCATAACACAAGTACATTGACTTTTTTTTATAGACAGGGTCTCACTGAGTTACTTAGCGCCTTGCCATTGCTGAGGCTGGCTTTGAACTCATGATCCTCCTGTCTCAGCCTCCCTAGCTGCTGGGATTACAGGCGTGCACTGTCACGCCTGGCTACCATTGATTTATCTTTGAAGTTGGTATATTGGTGGAAGGGTGACGAGGAAATCATGAGAGCAGACAAGTAACTTAAGATTTCAGACAGTCTTGCAGTGCGAGTCTCCTGTCTCTTGACCATCACTGGAGTCAAGTGTGAGGCTGACAGATGTGCTGCGGCAGGTGGCAGTGGGGACTATTCTCTTCCCTTCAGGAAGTAAGCCCTTCTTGTGCCATTTAAGTTCTCTGAATGATGATTTGGTTTGATTTAACTCAATTGTTGTCTTTTCTGCTGTATTTACTGGACTAGATGGTTGAGCCACTCAATTACCATTTGTTCCTGTCCTTCAAGGAAATCACAATTTCATCAGAGCCCAAGATGATTTGAGACTCAGGATTCAGATCAGAGATCTGGCTATGGCTGGGACAGAAGCTATGTGTAGATATCCCCAGGTGGCCTGCGCAACGAGGGACTTCCAGGGGACCTCCCCCACTGACCTCTTTCTTGTTTGTGGATGAAACAGCACGTGTCACCCCATTCATCATTTGGACACACTGACTCTACATTGTCTGGTCACTTGTCCCTCACAGTCTTATAGCACAATTTACCCACTCACCACCCCCAGTCTGTGGGCTGGGCCCAAGGTGTAGTCGGAGGAGGAGCTCCTGCCTGCAGTTTTGTGTACGTGTGTATGTGTGTGTTTGTGTGTGTATGTGTGTGTGTGTGTTGTACAGGAGACTACACTCAACGTAAGATACGCTGGGAACAGGGCCACTGGGGTGGCTATATCTCAGTCTCAGTCTCTCTCTTTCTCCTTTTCCTTTTGATGTATCAAACATTTGATTGACAAAGTAAGGGACTTGATTAGGACCAAATTTCCATGTCTGTTGCTATGGTCTTTATTTAGGACAACAGTTAATGCAGTGACCAATTCTGTCACTCTATACATATGACTATATGGGACATATGTAATATATAAATATATATATAAAACATTACCCTCTGTCCCCTTGGCTCAGGATGGAGGCCTCTTGGTTGAGCAGAAATGCACTGCAGCTTGGTGCTGCCAGCAGCCTGCAGGTCCCAGCCCTGTTCAAATCAACAGTTGACAATAAAGGAATGAGTATCGTTGCGGAAATGCCTGCCTGCTTCTCTTTCCTTTTTTTTTTTTCTTTTAATCCTTGTTCATTTCCTTCCTTCCCTCTCTTCCTGTGAGTGTTGAAGAGTATTTGGAACCCAGCTGCAGTTATCAGCATCTTGGAAGAGCACTGACTACTAAATGAGGGGACATCTGGCCTGGTGCATTGGCACATCTGTAATCCCAGTGACTTGGAAGGTGATGCCTGCAGGAGGATCACAAGTTTGAGGCCAGCCCCAACAACTTAGTGAGACCCTATTCCCCAAAATAAAAGAGACTGGGGATGTAACTCAGTGATAAAGCATTCCTGGGTTCAATCCCCAGTATCAAAAAAAAAAAAAAAAGATAACTTTCTGCCCAGTAGAGCTGAGGGGATGCCAGGCTCTCATGGGAAGTCTGTACCAGGGCTGTGGCAGCAGCCATTCACGTTCTAGCAGTCCCTAACCAGTTAATTTTGAATTATTAGCAGATTTCAGAACTACCTAGGTATTGTCCAGTTTAGCTGTTAATGTCATCTCCCCCTGCTCCTCTGTTTGTCAGCCAAGAGGGATTAAAGCAGGAAATACACAGGTTTGCCTGGCTTATTATGGTAGATGCTGAATTCAAATAACTTAAAAGTCTAGGTTGAGGGTGTAGCTCAGTGGTAGAGCCCTTACTTTCCATGTGTGAGACCCTGAGTTCCATCTGTAGCCTGTAAAACAAAAAACTAAAATAAGTGGCTCCCTGTAATAGTTTGGTCTTATAGGAAATGAAAAATAGTTGCTGCTAAAAAACAAACCCAAAGCCTTGATCCCTGACTCCCAGGGGAGCATGGAGGTTCACCTGGTGCAAAACACAAAACAGTGAGCCTGTTGTTTTGCTCTGATGCTTTCTTGGAGGGACTTCCTGCCTCTGACCAGGCGGGAGCCCAAGCTGTAACAGTTCCAGGACTGGGGCAATTCTGCTGCTTAGGAGGCATCTGCCAGGTATTTTGTGTTTGGTGCTTGACACACACAGCTCATTTAATCCTCCCAGGTGGGAATTATAGTCACTAGTTACCAGCAAAGAATTAAGGAAACCAACAAATTTGGCTAAAGACACAGTGATGAAGCTAGACTTCTGGACCCCAGAGTCCATATTTTTTGCTTTGTGTCATACTACTTCTGTAGCCCATAAGTACCTCAGGAAAACTGATTGTCCCCCTACATGTTTCACAAGTAGTAAAAGCCAGGGACAGAGTCATCTGTCTCCATAGACATGGTTGAGAATAAGACCAGATCTCCAGACCCTTAATTTATGGGCCTTTCCTTCCCCCCACCCCCCACACACCCATCTTCCTTCCCTCTTTTTTCTTTTTGTAGTGCTGGGGATCAAACTCAGAGCCCCAGTCCTATTTTATCTTATTTTATTTTGGATTTAACCCAGAGGCACTTATCCCCAGCCCTTTATTTTTTATTCTGAGACAGGGTCTCCCTAGTTGCTTAGGGCCTTGCTACATTGCTGAGGCTGGCTTTGAACTTTCCATCCTCCCAGATCACTGGGATTACAGGCGTGCACCACTGCACTTGGCTCCGGTCCTATTTTAAAACCACTCATTTCTGCAGTTAGCAGTGGGGTCACTGGTGTGGGTGTGCCCCATGCCGGGCAGGTGGGGGTGCATGTGCGCAGTTTTAAAGTTCTCATTAAAAATTTGAAGTTGATCAAGAAGGAAGTGGACAATGTAGATATCTGGAGGAAAAACAGAGAAAAAAAACAAATGCAAACTAAGGGATGGGAGTGTGTCGGGCTTGTTAGAGAAGCAGCAGCCGAGTCACAACCTTGAGGAAACAACACAGGGTGTAAAGGTTATATGGCTCAAGCGGTAGCGTGCTTGCCTGGCATGCGTGCGGCCCGGGTTCGATCCTCAGCACCACATACAAACAAAGATGTTGTGTCTGCCGAAATCTAAAAATAAATATGAAAAAAGTTCTCCCTCTCTTTTAAAAAAAAAGGAATTAATTTATCTTTAAAAAAAAAATAGTGTGTAAGGGCAAGGACGCTCAGCTCCCTAAAGGGGTTTGCACTCCTACATCAGCCTGGGTCTGTCTACCTTTTCTCTCTCTCTCTCTCTCTTTTTTTTTTTTTTTGGTAGTTGGGATTGAACCTAGGAGTGCTCTACCACTGTTCTACATCCCTAGTGCTTTTTATTTTATTTTATTGGTACTGGTGATTGAACCTTGGAGGCGCTTAACCACTGAGCCACCTCCCCAGTCTTTTTTTATTTTTTGAGACAGGGTCTTGCTAAGTTGCTGAGAGCCTCATTATTAATAATCGCTAAGGCTGGCCTCGAACTTGCAATCTTTCTGCCTCAGTCTCCTGAGTGTATCACTGGGTGTACTAGATTTCTAATGGATCCTGAGAAACCCCTACAGGTTTAAATCAGTGTTAGAGGCATTTGCCAGAAATCTACATTTTAAATAAGCACCTTCAGGTGATCACAATGAACAGTCACTGAACTCTGAGAATTTCAGTTCCAGTCCTATGTTATTTAGAGTGACTCACAGTGAGCCTACCCTTCATCAAGCACCAGAACTGGGGCCATCTGCCCATGTAAATACAAAGATTGCATTCAGAGATGATAGGGACCAAGGGCACAAAGCTACTCTAGCATATCTTCAGAGGGAAGGGGCCCCTGCTATCATGTTTGGACAAAATTCACTCCCCACTCCCATGGTACTGGGGATTGAATGCAGAATTGCTTTACCATTGAGCTGCATCCCAGCCCTTTTTATCTTTATTTGGAGACAACTGTGATCCTCCTGCCTCAGCCTCCAAAGTAACTGGGATTGCAGGTGTGCACCACCACACCCAGATATAAAGCTACTCTTATTTTGGGGAGTACTGGGATCGAACCCAAGGATGCTTGACCACTGAGTTACATCCCCAGTCCTTTTTGTTTTGAGATAGGGTCTCGCTAAATTACCCAGGCGGGCCTTGAACTTGTGATCCTCCTGCCTCAGCCTCCTGAGTCACTGTGATTACAGGTAGGTGCCATCATACCGACATATCCACATGCCATTTGTATTGATATTTATCTATACCTATATCTAGCCAAATACAAAATTAGCCAAATTGGCTACACGTGGTGAGGCCAGAGGCAAGAAGATGAAAGTTCGAGGTCAGTCTATGCAATTTAGGAAGCCCTATCCAAAAAGGTCAAAATAAATAAATACATATAGATATAGGTTTATGAAAGAGAGAGGGAAATGAGTTTGCAAACACAAGATAAAGAAAGATGTGAGAAAGCTACGCAAGGACATCACATAGTGTGGCATTGAGAAAGGGCAATGTGCAGAGAAATTAAGTGGCTTGAGCCTGAGAAGCAGCTCAGCAGGAGGCACCATGTTCTCAAGTGCCACACTTCAGACCTCAAGGGCCCTAGCAGACAAAGCAGGTTAAAACTGACCTTTGAATCCTCTTGGCTGGTGCAAGAACTTCAATATCATCTCTGCAAAGAAAAACAGGTTTTCTGCTTTTAAAATGCTAAATGTTTTGCTGGCCTTCTAAGAAATGAGTTGTGTTTCAGATATCTTCTTCCACAGCTAACAAGCACTGTCAGTTGAACAGTGTGACAGTTCCCTTTGATGTACAAGAACAGGCTGCTGGGCTCATCTTTGTTATTGCAGACATCAGGGCTGTTGTCTGCTCACAGTTTTGACAGTTTACAATTGTTCATGGCCCTTTGTCCTTGTCAATTAAATCCATATGTTGATTGCACTTTGTTCCAGGAGAGATGAAATAACAATGAAAATAAGTCAGTGCAACAGACCAAAAGAAAGAAATTGATTATGGTCCTCAGTGCTCCAGGAAAGAGATGCTCACCACTCAGAACACATACCTCTCCCAGCAACCAGAGTCCCTGGAGACCAACCAACCCCTGACATCTCCTGAGAGACTGCAAGCTCTCAGGCCGCCCCCGCTCCATTTGCTTTACAAAGGAAAAAAAAAATCATTCTTAGGGATCTGCTGAAAATCTGCATTCCAAGTGTGTGTGTGTGTGTGTTGGGGGGAAAGGCAGGGGATAGGAGTGCAATATTTAAAAGTGAACTAGTGAGTGGAGGGCGATATGATATCCAAAAAAATTCAAGCGACGCACGCACATCCACCCACACACACTTCTATAAAACCCCTGTTACCAACTAAAAATTGAAATCCAGTTTGGGGAATAATGTAAAATAATCTTCACTTCAGTAAAGTGAAGGAGTATAATCATGACATTTGAGAAAGGTAGAGAATAGGTGTAAGGCATTATATTTGCTAGGTATTGCTCTCCACAGCAAGCCCTATCGTTTCTTACCATTTTCACTGCCAATTTCCCTTTCCCTATTAAATCTTGTCAAAGACACTGCAAGAACCTCCTAACTGGTGTCTCAGACTCTACAGTTGCTTTCACACAAATCCTGTGTCCCTGATCCCACGTCCCCTGCCTCCACTCTGTGTCCCACAACTATCACATAGTAACCAAAGGATATTTCATAGCAAATAATTTGTATTTAAAATATAAAATAATCCTTGGGCATGGTGGCTCAGCAAGAGGCACTTTGTGCTCAAGTGCCACACTCCAGACCTGGAAGCTAAGGCATGAGGATCACAAGTTCAAGGCCTTGCCTAAGAACCTGCCTAAAAATAAATTTTTATTTTATTTTATTTCAGTACTGGAGATTGAACCCAGGGACACTTTGTCACTGAGCTACATCCCCAACTCTTTTTTTATTTTTTATTTTGAGACAGGGCCTCAATAAGTCATTGAGGATGGCCTCGAATTTGTAATCCTCCTTGCTCATCCTCCTGAGTCGCTGGGATTACAGGTGCGCGCTGCTTCCTTTCTAAGTGTTTGAAAATCTTTTGTCACTTTTCCCACTTCAAAATGCTCTGCAGATATACTGGCACTTTGAATGTCCTATTTTGTTCCTCAGATAAGCTATGCTTGTTCCCTACTCAGTTTGTACTTGCTATGTCATTTTCTTGGAAAGCCCTCCTCCTGGT